ATTAAAGGTGGAGTGTTGACTTTGCCTTATCCAATGTCACAAGCAACCACCCCACACCCACTCTTTGACTAACCATACCTCCCCACCTTACCTAGGTCACATCAATGTCCCTCACACTCAATTTACCCTCATTTCCACGTTTTTAGAGCTGGAACAAACATCCTCTCTCCTCATTTCTCTCATTTGCCCTCATTTCACTAAGAATCAAACACCACTTTTCTCTCAAACTTTTCCCACTCCAATTTCGAGATTCAAGGCTAATTTTCAAGTGTTCTTCCACTCTTAGTAAGTAAAATTCATCCTCCTTATGATTATTTCACTTCATTCTACTCAAATCATGAATATCTTACGCAAATTCCATCATATTAACGTTAGAGCTTCGAATCTTCAAGTGATTCTTCAAGTGTTCTTGGGTTGAACACTTCTCTCTTCAACACTTATCTACTGAAATCACTCAAGGTGAGTTCATACCCCTACATTTTCATGTTTTCTCAAGTTTTCAGGGGGGAATACAAGTTAAAACACTAAGAACATATCTAAATTTTTCTAACAGCCTTCATCAGAAAAGTTCAACTCCATTCACGGACTGTTTTGGGCATCTTAAATATTTTTGTTTTCAAAACTGTACAAGGTGCAAATAGTTCAAGTTTTTAGCTTTAAAATGGCTACTTGCACATCTCCATACGATTTTTCTACAATTTATGGTGATTTTTACAAAACTGCCTATCATTTCAAACAACAATCCGGACCAGTCTGTGATTATGGACTTTTTCACCCAAGTTAGAGGTCATATTAATTGTGATAAAAATTATGAGCAAACTAGACACATTTTGTGAACTCTCAGAATTTACGGATCTAGTTTTCGACTTCGTATGATTTTTCTATGATTTTTCCAAAACAGGGCAGAATTGCTAAATTTTGCCAACAGCATGTAAATATCATAACACTTTGTATTATGTTGAGCAAAGTGTATAATCATAAGTTTTAGTATTTGAATGTGTTTCCTTGTTAGTTTATCATTATGAACTGAAACTAAGACATTCATATTAAATATTATTCATTCATTTTGGAACACGTATTATTAAACTATAAAAAGTATAGTTTGATAAATTCACAACACTAATACATTTCCATAAAAGAATTCATACATATTACATACATTTTAGATAAACTATAATAGGTATAGTTTATGATACATCACTCTACGCACTCGTACAAGAAGGGTACATTCATACAAGAAATATTTATATTCACACACATTTCACGTAAACTTGTTATCCTATATTGTGAGTTTCTCTATTTTTCTTTCTCTCTCTCTCTCTCTCTCCCCGTACGTCCGAGTGCGGGATATAATTCCTGGTAGTTATAATCAGAATCTCCTTGAGGGAGAACGTGATACTTGTATATAGATCTATATTGGGATTGACACCCCACACCTTGCTGCTAGCTACAGTTGGACCTGCAGGTCTACGGGTGACAAATGTCATTTTATTTTTCGCGACACTGAGAACGTCGTGGCAGGTTCACAGAGTCATAGTATGATTATAACGGCTCACATAGGGAACAATCCATAAGTTTACGGGATTTTATTTTTAAAACCTAAATGAGTTTTATTTCGATTTAAAATCACCTTTTATCTCTATGGGTACAAATACAAAGTGTCGGGTCTCTATACAAAGTTATATTGATATTAAAACTATTCTTCCTCTAGAATTGTTAGACTTCAACTATAGTCGTTGAGTGTATATGTTTGAGTCATATAAGAATTTAGTCTTGGTTGGCCTAGAATTGGTGGTGCCCGCCTCATCTCCTGTTCCTCGTTGGGTTGTGGACCTAGGGCAGACCCACTATATTCAACGTTTTATCTAATTTAAATCTTATATAACTTATATACACTGGACGATTATAGAGGAACTCTACGGGTCATTCTAGGGTTCATTAATGCATCATATAGGAATATTTCTATTCATACTTAACTAAGAAAATATTGGATTTTCTGGAAATCAAACTATATCGATTTTTCAAGGAAAAGTGGTTTCTACTTCAAACAAAACTCTTATGAACTCACCAACCTTTGTGTTGACACTTTTTAAAACTACTTGTATTCTCAGGAAATCAGTGAAACAGGAAAACTTCATCGCTTTGCGGATGGGACGTTAAACCGTCAACAATTTATTTTGTCATCATAATGTAATTGCTTTTGAAACATATAAACATATACTTTGGTGTAACTTTTGCAATTATATATATGGTGGTTGTTTTTACTTTGAGCACTATTATACACGTTGTTGTGATACTGTATATGAAGTCCTCCACCCCTAGACGTTTCCGTCATCCTTGGTTTGGGGGTGTGACAATTAGAGTGATGGTGATTTTGATACTAAGAAAAGAGTAAAGCCCCATTTTAAAGGGGGTTTAAGTCTTTTTTTAGTTGGATACTTTTGCTCAATAATCCTAATTTCCTTTAAAGACCTTGCTTTTAATAACATTTAGTTAGAGACAATAAAAATTAAAAAACCCATACAACTACATAATTTTAAACCCAGAAATATGATGATCATATCTACTCAAAATACATACTCAAAACCATGGTTTACTTTGTAAAGAAATATTTTAGAAGTTGCATAAAACAAAAGGTGGATAAGAACTTTGCTAACACATAAATTGCTTGATAGTTGTAAATTAACAAACTTTTATTTAATTGTATATCAATAATTAAGAAGATTAATAAAATTTTAATTAATAAAACTACTTTTTCATTAATAATTTTTTAGGTGTTATCCTATTTACCAAAGAAAATAATTATATAAATATTTAAATTGAGAAGGGTACCATTTTCTTTTTGTCCCGGACCTCATAATGTCTTGAATCAGCCCTGGGTTTGTGGATTTGAAAATAACTAATTTTGCTCCAATTCTGATTAGATTTACGGTTTGTGTTTTTTATTGATTGTTTGCATCAGAGCTTGGGCATATGAAACTGGTTTGTTTTAATTCCGTTGGTTGATGATAGTTGATGGAAGTGATGTTTGACGATGAAACAAGTGGTGTTTCACGACAGAGGAGGTGGTGGTGGTGTTCGTTGGTTCTTCTAATGGTGGTGGCTTTCGGTTCGTTTAGTGGTGGTGGTACTTAATCATAATCATCTCTAATAAATGAATGGTTTTTTTGCCACTTGTCACACTGTTATTCAATTTACCAAATGTGATTTTTGTGGTTATTTTGAATTAGTTTTTTTCCACATGTCATTTTATAATTTTTTTTAATAATAATTAAACTCCACATAATCTTTTAATGTAATAATTGCAATAATTGTAGCAATAAATGAATATTAATTTCATTAATAAGCTTACATTTTAATTTCAAAATTCTCAAAATTAAAACTCTTTAGTTTTTTTTCTTTATTTAAATTTAAAAGATAAAAAACATTTTCATTATAGTAATTCAATATTTTTCTTATTTTCTTATAAACTCAAAGTTATCAAATATTTTGAACTTTATATTTAATTGTTTTAATTAACTCATGTAATACATGAGTCTTACAATTATTATGTATAAACTCATACTACTAAATTGTTTTTTCTAATAGTAAAAGAAATTGAAAAATTGGAAATATATATATATATATATATATATATATATATATATATATATATATATATATATATATATATATATAAAGGACAATATAGTCTTTTTATAACTGGGCGTATTCGGTACGTAGCGTTTGAAAGCTTCTAGCTTTGAGTGTTTGACAAACGCTTCGTTTTGAACAGAAATTCTTGTTCGGTACTACAAGCTTCTAGCGTTTAGTTTAAACAAAACGTTCCAAATCTAAATATTTTGAACTTTAAAGACCTTGCTTTTAATATCATTTAGTTAGAGACAATAAAAATTAAAAACCCATACAACTACAAACTACATGATACACGCTACAAACTAGCTAATTTTGTCGTACACGCCGAATAAAACCGTACCATAAGGATGGTCAAAATATAGAAAAAAGTTAAAAACCAACGTATAATATTGACTAAATCATAAAACGATTTAGTAATTTGGGTAAATTACACCAATCATCCCTCGTACATATGTCAGAAAGCATGTTCAGTCCCTATTTTCAAAAATTAACTCGGACCGTCCCTCGTTTGCTTAAAACTTGCATGCTTCGTTCCTCTGGACATAAAAAGACCATTTTGCCCTTATTTATTTCTTTTTTATATGTTTATTAAATATAAATTATTAATCTATTAAAAAATATTTAATTAAATATAAACATCATCTCCATTATTGATTAAATGTCAAAATTCTTCCCGTTCTTTCTCAACTTCAGCTACCACCACTTATCATCACCTATGACCACCGTCAACCACCACTTATCACCACCAGAAACCACCACTTTTCACTCCTATTTCTCTCCCACCACCTATTTTGGAAGATGTGTCTTATGTCCGATCACCCCCTAAATTTAATAAACAAGAACATGAAATCAAAGCTAACTAAACCCTAAACCTGAAGATCAAACCATAAACCTGTAAATAGAAACTCACGAGTTGTAGTATAAGAAAGAGGATTCAAAATCAAACGCATTGGCGGTCAACCCAAACCTCGCTGCTATCGAAGAACCTCATATCGATGATGCTAACCCCCAAAAAACGTGAAGAATCGGACCTCCGACAACCACCCCATCATCATGCACACTTTATTTCTTATGTTACGGATCCCCAAACAGGAGGTGGAGCTCGATCAGAAACCCTAGGTGGCAGATCAAAACCCTAGGCGGCGGCAACGTCTCCATCTCTATGTAGAACCCGTCGGAAACAAAGAGGGGACCGCCGAGAGTCTTGGTCCATACGGAGAGGAGATCACCAGAGTCATTATGATGAGTCTATTTCATCTAAACAAGACATCGAACAAGCAACAATTACAACAAAATCAAAAACCCCTAACCTTCTTCCGTTAAAGAAGCAGATCGAAGATTAGAATCCGAGAAGAGTTATCGATATGAAATTGATATCCTCGTTTCTGGGGCTGACGGAATTGGCTGGAGATGGTGATAAATGGAGAGAAAGGTTCACCGGAGGTGGAGATGATGGTGGTGGCCGACGATTTGTGTCTGCACTTTCCCTCTCATCGTATCTGTGTGTTTATTTCTAATTAAAAGTGTGGGGAAAGTGAAGGGTTTTTTTTTTTTTTTTTTTTTTTTTTAAATCTAATAATAATAAGGGTAAAAATAAATTAATTATAAAATAAAAACACAAAGGTATTATCATCATTTTAATTCTGGAACGGACTAAGTTCGCAATAAAATCACATTTGAGGGATGAAGCGTGCAAGTTGAAAACAAACGAGGGACGGTCCGAGTTAATTTTTGAAAATAGAAACTAAACACGCTTTCTGATATATGCACGAGGAACAATTAGTGTAATTTACCCTAGTAATTTACTCAAATGTTTCATTGAGAAAAAATCTTAATTGAAAGTATGAAATTACGAGAATACATTAAATTCCATACAGAGAACAATTTTGTTATCAAGGCCCAACACCCGGGTGCAGTTTTGATTTGGACTTTAGACGCACTGTGGGTGGGCTCACACGGAACGCAAACTTTTATGGACTGCGTTACCCCTCCCATGGCTCATGCCTTCCTTCCTAAAACTAGGGTTTACAATTTCACTACTCTATATAACCTATTCGTTGCTTATCATTTCAATCACACCTTCTCACCAAATTCATCTTCTAAATTCATATTTTCTTTTTCTTTCTTTCTATGTTTTGCGATTTCGATTTTCAATTAAAAAAGCTCCGATGAGGAAGAAATCCCCTTAAAGATAGGAAGTGCCGTATGACACTTTAAACAGCAGCGGATCACGGCGGCGCGTCATCCCATCCACCAATTCGCCGGCCTCCGATCATTAACACGATCTTAGAGCTCAGTTCGTTGGTCGGGATTCGCGTTTTTGCCTCTTCCACTGTGTGTGTGATTTTGAACGGGTCTCTGAGGTTTTTTTCATCTACTTTTTTATCAAATCATTTGATTTTTTCTTCATATCTTCTGGTTCGATGCCACGTCGACGGTAGCCAAAAGTGCAGTGACCGACGATGCTATGATTGAACCGATAACAGACTTTGTGTCTTTCGCAATTTTATAGGAACCTGTGAACTGATTGTTATCCGTTCATTCACAGAGCCGGTTTTTGCGATTACATTTTTTTTAATAAAAAAAAATATTTTTAATGGATTGATTTTGGATGAAATTTGTGTATTGCCAATGAGGTATTAAATCGTTATAAGTTGGAATTACCGACTGATTTTACATTGATGATACATCGACTATCTGAGGCATTTAAAATTGTTTTGAATAATTATATTTGTTGTATTTTACTTGAAGCTCCTAAATGATCGAGAACTTTCTTGGCATTAATATTCACAGTACTATAGGTCAACAAATAAACGAATAAAAGTTGATTATATTTGAAATAATATTTGATGATAGAAGCTAAAATTTTGAGATTTCTAACAAGAAAAGAAACCAATTCTTGGAACGATTTTTGTTTACTCATTGATAAAAATGTCTTATGCAATTTATAAAAACATGGAGTTGTTTTTTAACTAAAAGTAGAATGTAGTATGCATACCGGAAATATGGAATTAAACTAGAGTTTTAACTTAATGCTATAAAATTCGTTATTAAGGTCGACTAATACATGTGGAATTTTTTTGTATTAATACATCGATATTGAAAAATGTTTGTGAAGAAGCTCTTAATAAGATCGGTTTTGTCTGTGGGGGTTCTAGGGATCCATCAGAAGATGGAAAGTGCGTATTAATCTTGACTTCATTTAGTTTTGCTATGCTGTTGTTGTTTGTTTGGAGTGAGTTTGAATTGTTGTTTGACGAGGCTGGAACAATGTTGCTTGATGATTTTTGAACATGAAAGTACTGAAGCTCTTGAAGCATATTTCAAGAGCGCATGTAGTATCGAGAAGATTGTTGTTGGCTGAGAGGAAAAAGATGATTCCTTTTGGAATGTTGATTAAAGACATTTGCAGGAAAGGATTATGCTGGTTAAACGAGATTGAGAAAGGTTTCATGAGTGGTAAGTTTTTTAAATAGAACTTAGATGCGATCTGAGTAAAGAGAGTCAAGAGTACATTGAGAATAACAACTATAACTATAAATAGAAGCCTATGAATTTGTTTTTAGGGCTACCACCTGTGATATTTAGAGCTTTTCCTGTGTTTTTAAGGCTTCAAAAACCCTTGGAAACGCAAGTTAATTCTATTTCAATCCGGATTCAAGTCGAGATTCAATTCATCATCAAGCAACATTTGAAGATCATTCAACCTGTGATTCTCATCAATTCTAGTAATTTTCAGAAACGATTACTCCTCCTAATGTTTATTTGTTTCATACTTTGATAATCATTAGGCTACATTTGTTTAATGATTCTACGTTTGATTATGAATTCTATTATCTGTTTTATTTATTTCATTCAAGTTATTTGTTTTATGAAATCAATGGAAGGCTAAATCATTAAGGTTACTTCTGGGGATGTTTAGGATTTTTTGATGAACACACCTAAATGTTACTTGATTCTAGTTAAATTCAATTGTTGTTTTATGCTTCATGTGATGATCTTTGGTAATGATAACTGAAATTGGGTTATATAGATTGTTTGATGTCATAATTAAGATAGTCTATTGTCAATTCAGCATTTGTTCCAAGTTCAATTAGTTTAGAAATAAAGACAAGTGATTGAATCAACATATATTATGCCAACTTATGATATTGAATCTTAATGCGGTAATAGGTAGTTATAAGACATTTTATTGCTAGTTAACTAATTGTTCCTAATCCATTTAGACATAAATGAGTAAGACAACTAGTTGAATAAACATTTAGTGTGCCCAAACTATGTGTTACAAGTTAATGAACCCTAATTGCATCTAAGTGGTTGAATTAGAATTTTAGGAAAGAAAGTGTGAACCTAAATTGTCCATAACCGAACCAGAAGTACTCTAGTTTTCTCATTGAGATTTTCATTTTTGATTGATAAATTTCCAAGTTTTTGTTTGATTTTTTCCTTTAATCTTTTTTCGTGACAATTGCTAGTAATACTTTTCTTTTTATTGATTGCTTTTACACAAAGTTTAACCATGAAATCCTTGTGGATTCGACCTGACTTACCATATGTACTTAGGTTAGTTGGTTTATTTTTTATTGATACAACGACATGGATCACCTTGCTGCAAGACGTTGAGGGTTTGTTTCAATTCGTAGGCTCGAGGTGCTCATTTTTTCTCGAACCGTTCTTCTAGATCACGCCAAATCTCAGATGATGTGTTATCAAATATCATATTTGATGCTGGTGCGTATCTCCCTTTCCATAGCCGTTGTTATCCACCCCTTTATCATCGCATCGGCTCGTATCCAAGCCAAGTTCAAAGGAGAGTCTGCAATCCGGTTTCTTGATTGTGCCATCCACAAGCCCCATCTTGTTCTTTGCCAGCAAGATATTCTTCATCTCTTGCTTCCATTCTCCGTAATTAGTATCGTTCAACACATCATTTACATGCATCTGCTTGCGGTAATCCGATGGATGAATATAGTATGGAGAGTTTGTATCTATCTCGTTTTTCTTGTCGTTACCAGACGATTCCGACTTATCTCCTGTCATTGGAAGTCTGGTTATGTGGCTCTAATACTATAAAAGTCAGAGTACACTAAGAATTATTTGTTTTATTGATCAAAAGTACTGTTTAGGTTACATCGGGATAGTTTGATAAATAGCCACATGAAAATAACAAACTAGCCTAACCTATCAGATCAAAAGTCTATCTAGAATAAGATAAATAAAACGTGACATAATAATAATAATAATAATAATAATAATAATAATAGTAATTCATTTACTGTGAGCGATTGAGAATAATAAATCTATGAGTCATTCAAAAGAAGAAGAATGAATAATGATCCATGAAGAATCTTAAGAGATGAGAGTAAGACTGGAAGACTGTTTCAGGTAACATTAGTGAGATGAGAAAGAAATAGTGAGGAAAGATGAGATAAGATATAGCATGGAAAACTATACACGAGGAAATAGTAGGGAAAGAAAAAGATAAAATGAGTAGTGCATCAGAGGGGTAAAGAAAGAGAAGATAGAGTATGTAGAGAGTATGTGTAGATGTATGAGATGAACATGATAAGAATCAGAAAAAGATTAGAAGAGAAAGATGGATGAGATTAGAAGGATGGAGAATAAAATAAGGTATAAGAAAAGAGTACTGAATGTAGAGTGTGAAAATAGAGAAGGAGATTAGATTATGGAAAGGAAAATAGAAAAATTGTTAGATAGACATGAATATATAAAAATATAACTTACCAGATATTGTTGTCTACATCGTGATATTTTTTTTAGGATAGTCGTGGACTCATGGTCATTTTGGGTTGCATTGACTTATAATTATCTCATTGTTTGCATCCATGACATTGATTTTGTCATTGATGTAGGTCTCAACTTTCACTTCAGATATTAGTAAAATAGATTAAAAACACTTTTTTAAAATTAAAAATATTTAAACCAAATTAAAACAGCAAGCCATTTTTTAAAATGTAAATCTTATATTTTTCCTATGGAGAAAATGTAAAATCTTGTAGACAAAGTTAATCATCAGTTCCCAACCATGGAGCGAATGAAATCCGATACATAAATCAGTTAATAAAAGAAGAGAAAAAACTTTTATTGTGTCACTTAAGTTATATAGGAATTCATGAACCCAAGAGTTAAAAATAACAAGTTCTTTATTACCTAAAAGAGAATAAACACTTAGAATAATGAAACAAATTATATTTGTCGAGAATTGCAAAATCGTATAAATATGACCCTTGTTGTGTATCTTGATTAATTGGATTGTTCTTTGTGAATTCTAATACGAAAGTTTTGTAGATGTGTCTCTGAGTATTCCTTAATCATTTTCTCTAAGAAGAGGAGTTCCTCTAATTCTATGAATTTTTCTAGAATACTCTTTTCTTCAATATCATTCAAAGAAGGTTCAGATTGCCTAGTATTCCACCAATTAGTATAACCCAATATTCCATACTTTTTTGAAATGAGAGAAATCCACCGGGTTAAAAATACTAAGATGCAAAATGTAAAGAACGAGAGTTGTTGAAACTAGCATATTGGAAGATCAATCGGCCAAAATAACCATGAGCGACTACAATATTATAAGTTTTGTAGCACCTGGTTCCTGGTACGTAAAATTTATCTAAATATTTGTCATTTTAGCCTTGGACTCGGCGAATTGTACGTCCGACTCGCCGAGTAGGGACGCGGTCCGGGGGTACGTTTAAGTTGGCGACTCGGTGAGTCCATATTCTGGACTCGGCGAGTCACCGCTATTTGATGAAACCCTAAATTTCAAGGATTTGCACCCTATTTAAACCCTCATTTCCGCCCCAAGGTCGCCCCCATTCACCCTTAGAGCCCCCAACATCGTTTTTGCCCTTTTCCTTGTGAGATTGAAGTGTTTTGGGTGTGTTCTTGAAGTTTTTGAGGAGAAAGAAGAGTAGATCAAGAAGAGGAGAAGGAGGCCAAACATTTTTGTGACATCTCAACGTTTTCCTTGTGGTATAGCTCGTTTCCCCTCTGTTTTCAAGCTTGTAGTCCTTAATAGCTTCATGAAAGTCCTTCTTGAGCCATTCTCCAAGCTTGTTTGTGCTTTGTGGGTTGTAATAAGTTGTTAGCCTTTAGATCTATGCATGATTTAGTCCCTGGAGCTTGGATCTACTGTCTTTTTGGAGTCATATTGCATGAGAGTCCTAGATCTACCCCTTTTGGTGCACTTTGAGCCCTAAAACCTTCATTGGTGATTATCTACACGTAAAGTTAAAAACTTTACGTGTAAACCAAGCCCTAGGAACCCAGATCTATGAATGGTATGGACTGGATTCAAGCAAAATCGCGTGTATAGTTTTTGCATGAGGCAGACTCGGCGAGTCATTCATCTGACTCAGCGAGTCGGTTCGTGAGTCCCCGGGTTGTTCCCCTTTTTGTGTTTGCGAGTTGGAGTAGTGAGTCATAGGGTATGACTCAGTGGGTTGGAAGCCAGACTCACTCATGAAGTCACTCGGCGAGTCAATGCCATGGCTCGGAGAGTTCATGGCAATCTTCTTGTCTCAAGAACAACTCGACGAGTTGTTCATACAACTCGGCGAGTCACAGCTTAGAGTGTTCTTCGGATGAAGGCGAACTCGGCGAGTTGTTCATACAACTCGGCGAGTAGGATGAAGGACTATTGGACTTGGGTATAGAGAAAGGGACTCGGCGAGTTGGCAAGCCAACTCGGCGGGTCTGGTCATCTGGCAGTTGACTGTGACTTGACTCATGACTTGTTAAGGGTAAATGGATAATTTACCCTGAGGGCGGTTAGCAGTATTAGACTAAGTGTTTGGTGGGAATTATAGCTAGAGGATTTCCGGAGCAGCAGCAGCAGACAGACCATTCCCACACATATCAACAGCTACTACGAGGTGAGTTACCTTCCAGTAGCGGTCAGTCTAAGGCCACAATGCCGGCCCACCAGTAGGAGATGTATGATAGATGATTGTCTTTATGATATAATCTAGGTTTGCTACTACCTGATATGTTATATGCTAGCATGATATGTTGTATGTGATAGTAGTAGAGTGCGGTTGTTAGGATCGAAGGGTAGTCAAACACCCTAGATACGTCTGACAGTATATGATGATATGTTTGCATGCTGGCTTTGTACGTCATGTGCGATAGAGGTAGTAGGAGGGGACTAGTCCCCAAGTTCGGTTGCTAGGACCGAAGGGTAGTTCAGGCACCCCATATATGTCTGATAATGCGTTATGTTATGATATATGTGATAGTAGCAGTAGGGGGTGAAATAGTCCCCGAGGTTCGGTCGTCAGGACCGAAGGATAGTCAGCACCCCAGAATGGCTTGACATGGGTAGTCAGCACCCTAAAATGGCTTGACACGGGTAGGTCGGCACCCAGAATGGCCGTACCGGGTAGGCCGGGCACCCCAGAAATGACTGGCAATATGTATGATATGTGATTGTATGGTATGCGGTATGATGGGGGAACTCACTAAGCTTCGTGCTTACAGTTTTCAGTTTTGGTTTCAGGTACCTCTTCTTCGAAGGGGAAAGAGCTGGCGCGGTAGCGGCCCATCATACACATGCTCCGTATTCCGCATCATGAGATCTTCCTGGGGATTTGTACTTTGACATTATTATGTTTTATGAAATGTTTTCCAGACATGCGATATCTTTATAAAATGTTATGATCAATAAACGTTTTAATTCGAATGTTTTACTAAATATATGTTTTGGCTCGTAATTTTGGGGTGTTACAAGTTTCTTCTTCTTGACCGAATCTATAACCTTCATTAGCAGATTCATTTTATGTGGTTTCCCTGATCTAGCTAGAGGTTACCAAAGAACCATGCATAACACTACAAAGGTTTT